CAGTCGACTACATGGGAGTCTAGCGACATAGCCATTATGCTAACTGCTGGTCCCAAGAACTGACTCTTATAGCATGATGCCAGGTCCCGAATGAACTTACTTCTTACTTATTTTTTTATTCTTAAAAATGGTTCTTTTTATTATTATTATAATTATAATTATTATTATTATTATTATTTGACCAGAGAGAAAGAGAAAGGGAAAGTGAGAAAGCAAGCTGCCAGGAAAGCAAGCTGCCAGTTCTGGGACTCAAACCTTGGTTGGCCATGTGTGAGTCCAGCTCTTTAGCCACCATACCACCTGCCAACCCCCCAGAACGAACTTTCAATAAGTATTTATTACTTGAAGCAAACAATAAAAAAGTGCTACTAACAGATTAATAAGAGGGAGAGTTGGTAAAAGACACTAAAATTACATGATAAAGCACTTAGATTTGTTTGGATTTTATGTAGGCAGCATTTGTGAGCCTTTATAGCTACTACTGTCAACATGATTAAGATGATACTTTAAACAAGAAATGGAAAATTATTTGTTGACAATAACATGTATGTTGATGTGCTTGATTGAGACAATATATAGTGTACTCTGGATGGAAAATCTCATTTTGTATGCTGTAATGATGTACAGTGAATGAACGTAAATTTAAAAAAAAAAAAAAAACATTAAAAAAAATAAGATGATACTTTAAAAAACTATTTTTTTAGAAGAGAGAGGTTTTTGCTATAGGGCATGTGGGCTCACCAGAGAGATAAAGTGAGAAATCACCCTTCAGGGGGGTGGCTCCACTGCAATCTCTTATCCTCCTAGGATTTGGGGCATGTACGCACACGCCCTGCATGAACTTCAAGCCACCCGATCTGGGACTTGAATCACGGTTGACCATGTTGGAGTTCAGTGCCTTAACCACTACGCCACCCGCTAGTGCAAAAAACTATTATTACTGTTTCAGAAATAGGAATGAGGTTAGTTAAGACGTATTCGTGGGAACCAGCAGTTAGCGTAATGGCTATGTCGCTGGACTCCCACGTAGTCGACCATGGTTCATGTCCCAGACCCGGTGGCTTAAAAAACTCAAGCCGTGTGTGTGCATGCCCAAGATCCCGAGAGGAGAATGAAGGAGAAGGATTGCAGCGTGGCCATCCCCCCTAAGGGGTGATTTCTCACTTTCTATCTCTGTCTCTCTGTCTGGCGAGCACACGCGCCCTATAGCAAAAACCTCTCAAAAAAAAAAAGACATATTCACAACCGCCTAGTGATAAAATATTGAGAGCTTACATCAGTGCAAAGGGTTTTGGAAAGAAATCGGACCAGAACCAAATAATTCATAGGAAAAATGAATAGTCCTGTCTCCTAGAGGGTGAGCTGAGGAATTGCTAGAAGGTTACAAGTAAATACTAGGGAAGGAAGAGAAGTCGGAAGTGGCTTCTGCCTCATTGCCTTCTGCTGCATCGTGCTTAACAACAAGAGCCTCCCGCCCGTCCACTCACAGTTTCATTATTTTTTGGCTATACTCTCTGATCTTTGCCTGTAGACCCAGGTGGAAAGGCTGGAGACTCTGTGTGCTTACATGCAGGTATCAGCTGCATAGTAATTCAGAAGAGACCACAAAACGAGGCTTGAGATGTGCACAGAATCTCTCGGGCATATCGTTTTTCTTCACCTTGCAAATGGGACTGTCTCAGTTCTGTGGTGTTCTTGTTTTGGTAACTTCTTTCCTGCTCTCGTTTTCTTATTCTCAGCTTTTCACTGAAATAATTCTACCGACTCCATCCCTCCAGCTAAGAAGCGTCATGGCTGTAACGGCAAAGAGGTTGTGTGGTTGACGTGTGCTATGTGATTGCAGTTTGAGTCTCATATTATCATCTGTGTGCTAACTTACATAATCGAGTTTCTGCGTTTTTTCAGTTTTCTGCACTCTGTCCCATAGCTCTTGTTGATAACCTGTCCTTTTTATAACATGCATTTTAATGTTTGAAATAGTCTGCCATAACATCCAAACGCTGCTGCAATTCAAATTTCTCTTTGAGATGTTCTAAAGAATGACCTGAAGTTTACCTTTCAGGTATTTCTATATGTTTGAGAGATCTAAATACATCAGATCAGTTTGTATTTGAAGACTCAAGTCTGCCTTTGATTTTCCCCTTAATATTTCAGTAAACACATGAAAATACTTTTTAATTAATGTAGACTAAAATAGTCAGGCACACTGATTAGATAAGTACAGAAATGTTTGTGGGAACTTGATCCCTAGTCCTTCCGGTTTGTGTTCTGGCTAGGGCCAGCCAATAGCTAAACAAGCTTTTATACACATCACTTGCAATATCTGGTCTCAGCTTTAAAGACCAATAAGCAGAAGCCAAGAGTCAGACTAGCACAAAAACAGTGTCCCCAGCATGACCAGGCGATCAGGCGGCCAGGCTTCCAGTTCCTCTGTCAAACAGCCAACTGGGCTGCAGAAAGGACAGCTGCCTTCCTGCCAGCTTCCATAAACATAACAGGGGGAAGGAGTGGAACAACAGTCTAATAACTTAGAGGAATTTACTGGAAAAGGTGTGGAAACCAATAGCATGCAAATCCTCTAACTGCAATAGCCAAATAAGCTTCCTTCACACCAGAAAGGTAGCTGACCAGGGCCTCGTGGTCGCCCAGGAACTGCCGTGGTGGGTGCTGAAACCAAGCGCCCTCCCTTGGATGGAACTACGTTCCCGGCTCCACAGAGCAACTAATCGTGCCTCACCACACAGCCAGGAGCAGCGGGTATTGTCACTCTCCTGTTACAGGGACAGGGCGAGTCTCCATGGAGTTAACTCACTGAGGAACGTGCCGCAGGGCCATGGTTCACACTGCCTTGTCACTGTCCCCGGAACCCGTGCCTTTTGTCCACTGTTTGTGAGAGTTGGTCCAGTGCTGAGGAGCCCTGAATCAGTGACTCCCCGCGAATGCTCTCTGGTGGCTGACAAGTAAGAGCAAGGGGAAACGCCCTGACTCCTGCTGTGACCACAGTGGCACAGTGAGCGGTTTGATGTCACCAGCCCATGCAAAGGCGAGGAGGCCTTGGACAGCCCCCGTCTGTACTCCCTCAGCTGGACTACGTGGCTGGCCACTTCCACACGCGGTGTATGGTAGCCAGTAGTGACCTGAGCACTTGACCAGGGTCAGAGATTTTCATGACCACATTTGTGGTTTCGTCAGAGCTCTTGACTGGTTGATTTCATAGGAGACAAGAAAAATTTGGAAGACAGAGGGAGTCACTTACCTTTTAACAGGACAGAAATGTTTTTGGCATGTTCTTTCACAGACTGAGGAGATGCACAGCAGTGTTCAGCCCGGGGAGCATGCAGATAGGCACTTACAGTGCGTTCTAACCCCAGCTGCCTGAACTCATTCCAGAGTCTCACCACAGTGCTTTGTTAATCATTTTTCCAAACCTAGGCATACCTTTTTCGTTAAGTGGAAGGACTCAGCGATGATTGCTGCCCATTCTGTTTTAGATTTCTAGCACTGCGGCCGTAAACACAAGTGTCAGTGAGCTTAGGACACCTAGTCTTATTTCGAAGCCCCTCGGTTCTCAACAGGTAACCGGCAATGGTGAATGACAGAAAATCTTTTTTAATTAATGGTCCTGTGAACTAGAAATGGACACTTTACTTTTGTAAAATTATCATTGGATTATGCAGAAGCTTGTTTGTTACATTAAATAGTGGGGTTTCTAAGGTATTTTCTTTTTTTTCCTCAGTGCGCAAGAGAAGAGTTGAAGGGGACCACCAGTAAGTCCGTCAAGCCGTCACCTTTGGAAGACTTCAGAAGGTCACCACAGGGTCACGCTGGTGACATCAGGTGTAAAATTTTCCTGGGAAGAAGGGAAGAGACTGGAAATCTTTTTTCTTTTGTTTTGTCTTGTTTAAACTACATCTTTTTCTAGTTTGTTGTTATCCGTTTCACATTGTAAAATTGGTAGTAGGTGATGTTTTATAATTTGAAGTATTTCTACTTTCTGCTAAAATCAATTTAATTTAGCTTAGTTGAATGATTTATAGTGATATATAGTGAGAAAAAAACACAGTTGTAAAAGAAGTTTCAGAAACCATTTATATAGAATACTTTTTAACATTCTGAGGTTTTGTTTTGTTTTCTTTTTTGCCATAGGGCATCTGTGTTCACCATCGAGAGAGACAGAGAGGGAAAGTGAGAAGTCACCCCCTGGGGGAATGGCACACTGCCGTCCCTACTTCCCCAGATTCCTCCAGGGAGTTTGGGAATGCATGTACACACGCCTCGGATGCTTTTTAAGCCACCAAGTCTGGGACCCGAACTGTGGTTGGCCATGTGGGAATCCAGCACCTTAACCACAGTGCCACCTGCTGGCCCCAAGGGCTGATGTTTTTAAATCAAAAAGGGACACTGCTGACATCAAAATTGTCATTGCTCCTTTTAGGTATAAGTCACTTCAAAGTTTTCTTTATCCTATGGCCTGGAGACTGACTTTTTCTTTTCTTCTTCTTTTTTTTTTTTTGTATTGCAAGAACTTGGCAAGGGCATGTTTTTCTTTATCAAGAGGACAAAATGCCAGAATTTTAAAACAGATGACTCAAACTCTGGCGATCTGTTTAGGAGCACAAACAGATATCCGGGAGAGAGCATGGTCTTCGCCACATTCCTGGTTACTGCACTTCTCCCACATGGCTCAGCAACACCTAAGGGTTTCTTTATTTTTTTTTTATTTTATTTGTTTGTTGTTGTTTGAAATAGTCATCAGCTTTGCCAGGTTACATACTTTGTTTAAAAGTGGTGTTATGTCTAAATTGATTACAGTTTGAATGATGTGGGCATTATTAAACTTTTGTGAAAGCTGATTGTAAAAAAGTATGTGGAAAGCAAACCTGTTTCCTTCCCCATAAAAAGGTATACAGCCAACTCTCGGTCATTTAGGGTAAAAGAAAAAAGAAAGCTGATAACACATGAAATCAAAGGAAGTGGATACGACAGAGCTCGAGGGTCAGGCGCCTGCCGAGCGGTCACTTACACTGCCAGTTACTGAGGGGAGTGCGGAGCGGCGTGCGTGTGAATTACGTGGGTTCCTGTGCAGTGCGGGGCTGCCCAGCGGTGTTCAGTCACCACTCGGCGTTTCCTAGCCAGCGAGGAGAGCTGCCGTTCTTCACGTACTGCCCACGTTGTGTAGATCCCTCTCTGTAACAAAAGCGATCCTCATCCCTCCGAGTATTAAAGTGAGCAGTTGAGCCGTGTGCCCTGCAGGAGAACAGTGTGAGGCTGTGGAACAGTCCCTGCCACTTGCCCTTGGAGCAGGAGGTGGCAGAGGTGTCTACACCTACAGAAGACAGGGAGGAAGGGAATCCGGCTAACCCTGGCCTCAAAAACCCGTGCCTGCGGGTCACTTATAGGGAGATTTTTCTGAAGGGAACAATTTCATTTCTAATTACATCAAAGGTGTTTTTGTGTGTGTGTTTGTTTTTGGTTTTTTTAAACTTTTTGAAATTGATGGTTTAATGAATTAGGCAGTTTCTAGTGTATTATGGTAATATGCCTTCTTAACAGGCTACAGCCTCCTTAAGAACTCTGGTGTGTGTGTGCGTGTTTTAAATCAGTATCCAATGTTTAAAAGGGGCCATAAAGAAACTTTGCACTATTCTCTTTTGGCTAAAGGCCACTGATCCCCCCTCCAAAAGTATCAAGGCTTGCTCGCTAGCTTTCAGGCCTGCGCAGACATGCCTTCCCTTCCTCCCTTTCTCCGTTTCCTTTCCCTGTCTCTTCCCCTCCCTCCTTCCCTCCTTCTCCCTTCTTTTTCTTTTCATATACAACTTTTTGATGGAACTTCACTTTACAGAGACTACACCCTCCCAACAAGGCTGGGAGTCAGGCATGGCGCAGGTGCCTAAGGTACCAGAAATAATTGGTCAGTTAACTTTCGGACAGGCTCCCTGGCCACACTGTCCTGTAAGTCCACAGATCACTGCTCCCCTTCTCCCCATAAGTTGCTTGTTCTTTGGTTTTTATTCAATATAGGTTAAGTGTGACTCTACCTAGGATTTTGTATCATACTTATGGGCGTCTTCTTCACTTATTTATCAAAGTATAAAGTAGTTGAGTATTTTGCTTATACCATTTCAGTTCTGTGCTATAATAGTGAACTGTTATTGAATAAAAGATTCTTTCATGTTACTTTAAATATGAACGGTTAGCCAACGGAACATAGAAAATCCTTCAAGAATTGTAATGAAAAGGGAGAAAAATGGTGTTTACTTTGATCTTTAAAAATATGGCACCTCTTAACCTGTTAGTTCATTATTTCCAAATCCCTCTAAAATTTTATAACAGATAAATGGATTAAGATTTTTAAATGCTAATTTTTAAGCCAAAGATTTTTTAAGACCTTAAGATTTATAGTCTACTCGATTTAAATTTGGTTATCTAAAAACATTATTTGCATTTTTTAAAAACACCTGTTTTTTAAATGCTTATATAAATTACTCATTTTGTAAAATTTTATATCCATATTTGTCTAAATCTAATGTCTACATAAATTTGTATGTAAAAAAATCAGTATTAGCACTAATATTAATGCTATTAAAATGGATTTGGTGCTGTGTACGTGTAGCTACAGCCTAGCCGAAGCCTAAACAAGAGGTGAAACACATTTTCTAAGGGTGCCTTTCATTTAAATGACAAAATGAACATTTTGTGTTAAAATAAATTAGCAAATTGTTAGAGATTTCAAGGAGAGTTCTCTTGGTTATTAAAATTGCAAATTCTTGTTTGAATGAAATAACCCACATTTGCTTTGTACAAGAGGTGCGCTCTGGAAAAGTTACATGTAAATAGAACTTTGTCATTGTTTTCCAATTGCCCGAGTAACTTAAGTGTTTTCATTTAGAACAGGGGGATTCCATTATGTAATAAAAATGCTAAATTAAAAACTACACTTTGATAAAAATGTTATGTTCTATTGTAGACTGTGTTTAACCCTTGCAGCCAGCAGGTGGCGTGGAGATTAAGGCACTAGAGCCCACATAGCCGACTTCTTGATTTGAGTCTGGAGTCCAGGGGGTTGAAAATCACACCGGGCACGTGTGAATATGTGCCCGGAATCCTGGGAGGTGAGGGGATCGCAGTGGCTATCTGCCCCAGGGCGCGATTTCTCACTTACCCTTTCTCTCTGTGTCTCTCTCCAGTGATTACACATGCCCTATGGCAAAAATCTTAAAAAAAAAAAAAAAAAAATCCCAGCAGATCCGAAGATGATGTTTTCTTGGACGTTCATTATCCACCCTTTTTTTTTTTGAGAGGTTTTTGCTATAGGGCGCATGCGCTTGCCAGAAAGACAGAGAGAGACAGAGAGACAGGAAGCGAGAAATCACCCCCTGGAGGGATGGCCTTGTTCAGTCCCTTCTCCTCTATTCTCCTCTTGGGATCTAGGGCACACATGCACATGTGCCCAGTGTGAGTTTTAAGCTGCCGGGTCCAGGACTTGAACCACAGTCAATTATGTGAGAGTGCAGCAGCATAACCATTATACCATCTGCTGGTTGCTAAAAAGAACATATTTTTTACAATCTAGTTTTTAGGCTGGCCCGTTGCCTAGTAGTTAAGGAAGCTGAAGCTCACATGGCCTACCACAAGGTTCTAATCCCTGCCCTTGTAGCTTGAGAAAAGTGCTGGGTGCTTGTACACACATGCCCCAAATCCCAACAGGATGGAGAAATGCAGAAGGGATTGCAGTGTGGCCACATTCCACGGGGGTGGGGGGCGGGTTACATTCTCCTCTCCCTCTCTCTAGCAGTACACACAGTCTGGCAAATAAAAAAATGAAAAATGTTGGAACCAGCAGGTACTGTAATGGCTATGTCGCTGGACTCCCATGTAGTTGACCGTGGTTCGCATCCCGGACCCGGTGGCTTAAACTCACACCGGGCACGTGTGCGTGCGTGCCCAAGATCCCGAGAGGAGAATGGAGGAGAAGGGATTGCGGCGTGACCATCCCCCCTGGGGGGTGATTTCTCGCTTTCTGTCTCTATGTCTCTCTCTGTCTGTCTGGCGAGCGCACGCACCCTACAGTGAAAATCTCTCCAAAAAAAAAATGAAAAATGTAGTGCTCAATTCTCAGAGGTAGAGAAATGTAATAAACTTTAAATCATTAAGGATTTACATGGGCAAGTCTAAACCCTCCCTCCTTGGGGACACTGACCTCCGGGAGGTAAGTGACTTGCCCACAGTCACACCAGTGGTCTGTTCACTCAGTACATGTTTCTTAGGTGGCTACTACTCCAGCCGTTGTCGCTGTCACAGAGCTCCGACCCGGTCTAGCACTTTGTTTCCCTCTGCTCTCTGCCGTTCTCTCTGAACTTCATCATGCTCACTTATCTCAGGTAGGCAGTTCGGTTCTCTGTCTCCATGAGAACACAAGTGCCTCTGCTCAGCTTCACGGTCACTGTGCATGTAAGATCCTAATCCTGTCTCAGAAATCAACTTTTATTTTATTTTATTTTTTTACTTCAGGATAAAAATCTTTATACAGAGGTCTTTAGTCTTTTTTCTGTGTGTGTTGTTTTGGTTTGGTTTGGTTTTTAGAAAAGTTTTTGCTATAGGGCGCGTGCGCTCGCCAGGCAGAGAGAGACAGAGAGACAGAAAGCAAGAAATTACCCCCTAGGAGGGATGGTCACGCCGCAATCCCTTCTCCTCCATTCTCCTCTCAGTATCTTGGGCACACATGCCCGGCGTGAGTTTTAAGACACCGGGTCCAGGACTCAAACTGCAGTCGGCTATATGGGAGTCCAGCAACATAGCCATTACACTAACTGCTGGTCCCTTGTTTTGTTTTTTTAAGGAGATTTTTGCTTTACGGTACTCATACTCTCTGGAGAGACAGATGGCAAGAAGGAAAGTGAGAAATCACCCTTTGGGGGGACGGCCACACCATAATCCCTTCACCTCCATTCTCCTCCCAGGATGTTGGGCACACATGCACACGCACCAGGCATGATTTTGAAGCCACTGGGTCTGGGTCTCAAGCCACGGTTACCATGGGGAGTCCAGTGACGCAACCACTGCGCAATCTGCTGGCTCGAGATCTTCAGTTCTTTAAACCTCAGCCCCCACATCTGTAAAGCTGGCATGACAGCACCCGCCCCTGCCCCGAGGTATCCTGAGGATTAGAATGGCCCAGATGCTCTCTATCGAAGTCCCAAATGTGCAAGCCGTGTCTGCCCTTGCAGGGTCACAGGGCCGTGTGGGAAATGGCATTACCGCCATGCCAGGAGGTTGCAGCAAGAAGGGCCCAAAGTCAGCGGGGCAGGACAAGGCAGGGCGGACCTCCCTGGAGGAGGCCATGTGGGCTGTACCTCGGCAGACCTCTGTGCCAGGCCCGGAGGACACGGAGGCGCACAGGGAGCAGCGGGAGAACACTGAAATGTCAGCTCACCCAGGGCCAGCGCTTACTGAGATGGTTTTGTTTGGGAAAGAAAAATGGAAGTCACACACGTGCTTTTGAACGTTTTTTATTCATAACAAGGTTAAGCAACCATTCAAAAATAAGGTTAAAAAAAAATTCATTTCGATCAAAACAAGTCATTTCATGTCTTCAACTGTTGAACGTGACGTGCAGCGAGTGCACGTTTTACACTTCCGTTGTTTTCTTGCTCTTCGGCCCCTGCTTTCCGCTCTCCGGAAGGCTCGCCGCCTGAATAATGAGATGGCAAGTCAGTACAAAACGTTCCTGGAGTTTGTATGACCTGATAGCTCCCCACTTTAGATTGATGCCCTCCCCGCAGCTGGCCTGGGTCTGGAGCCTGCCCTTGGACCGTGGTCAGCACTGGGGGACCCCCTTTTCATTCTATGCTGATGGGCATGCCTGTCACATCACTTGACTTGTGAACTAAAACTTAGTATTGTAAAGCCTACTTTTTTAAACAAGAATTGTTTGTATTTTGTGCTTCTGTAGTTTTAAAGCTATAAGTGTGTGTGTGTGTGTGTGTGTGTGTGTGTGTAGAGAGGAAGAAGGCCAATGCACAGATGGTGCAAGTTGAACCATCTGTGTGACTGCGACCTTTGTCCCTGTGTCTCCAGAACTTAGATCGGGTGAACTACGTGTTCAGAAAGCACTGGCTGGATTGCTTTGGCACGTGGGCACTGACAGCCATTCTCTTAGGGAAGGAAGACAGGCCAGCCGCCAAGGCACAGCGGCCACATAATGCTCCTTGGTGGGAAGGTCCCAGGTTCGAGTCCCGAGGTCTTCCTGTGTACGCTGGGCATTCAAGTGCATGCACGTGACCCTGGCCGGCTGAGCGGGGTGGGTCACAGTGTGAAGGCCCTGTGGGGGTACCTGTCTCCCTCTCCCTCTTTCTCTCTCTGGCTCTCTTTCCTGGAAGAAATAAACAGAACAAAAAAAACCTTAAAATTTCTTTGTACTTGTGATATTATAACGTGAGAAGAAAACAAAGGATTAAAGGAAAAGTTTTAATAACACAGAAACAGAGTAACCTCAGCTATTACTTCATGCAAATACTAAGGACAGTTTCCACAGGGAACGTGGTAGACTCCTTGCCCTGCCCACATCGTGTCTCAGGGCTTGCTCTGCCATCCCTCACAGCCCCATCCCTCTCCCTGGCACTGCCTGCCCTGGCCTGGGTGCCCACAGAGCTTTAGCTCCTTAACACCTGGCAGAGGACTCCTCCTCCATGCAGCCTCCCAAGACCCACCTGAATATAGGTATCATCCTCCTCAGGGCTGTCTTAGTCCTCTTACTGCATTAATCTCACTGAATTTCAGTGAGGTGTGTAGACATCTGTCCATCCGTCTGTCCCCCAAGTGTGAGATCTTCATAAGTTCTAGAAGTTGGCTCCTTGGTTCAAGATAGACTGTCTCCTAGTACTGAGAACATCTGGTCTTACCTCATCCCTGCTGAGCTGCTGTGCTCTCGGCAGTCTTTGGGCCTTGTCTTCTTCTGATCCCTCATTGTCTGATGAATGGATTCTGGCTTGTTCCTCTGAAAGCAAAGGAGTTTTAGAGATGGGATTGCCCTTCACAGATGAAGGAAATCACTTCAGTTGCCAGAAAGTGAGAAACCACCCCCGGGGGCTGTCAGCTCCTCCATTCTCAGGATTTGGGGCATGCACGCACACACACCTGGTGTGAGTTCCAAACTACCGGGCCGGAACTCAGACCGCACTCGGCCACGTGCAGGTCCAGCACCTGACTCACCAGGCTGCCTGCTGGCCTCGCATACGTAATTTTTTTTTTTTAATTTCTGAGTTTGTCACTGCTCTGTATATTTTAAAAGAATTGTTATTTTATTTTACTTATTCATTTATTTTAATTTGACCATAGAGAGAGAGAGAGAGCATGCAAGGGAAAGTGAGAAAGTAAGCCACCAGGTCTAGGATTCGAACCGTGGTCGGCCATGTGGGAGTGTCCAGTGCCTTAACCACCACGCCACCTGCTGGTCCCTCACATACATAATTTTTTTTAAAGAATTATTTTATTTATTTATTATTACTGTTATTTTTCAGTTTGATCAGACAGAGAGAGAGGGAGAGAGAGAGGGAAAGTAAGAAAGCACGCTACCAGGTTCAGGACTTGAACCGTGGTTGGCCATGTGGGAGTCCAGCACCTTTAACCACCATGCCACCTGCTGGCCCCCACATACATAATTTTTAAGAACTGTGGGCACTGGCAGGTAGCAGGGTGGTTTAGGTGCTGGACTCCCATATGACCAACCTGGTTCACAGCTCTGGTCCTGGGGGCTTGCTTTCTTTTCTCACTTTCCTTTCTCACTTTTCCTCCCTCTGTCTGTCTCTGGTGAGCGCATGAGCCCTGTAGAAATTTTAAAATAGTAATAATCATTATGATAAAGAAAATTAAATAATTTTCAAAAAAAGAAAAAGGGTACTTCTGAATGACTCCACAACTACTGAAGAAATAATGACTGAAATCAAAAGATTCATGGACGCCAATGACAATGAGAATATGAGTTTCGATAATCTTTGGGACACTGCTAAAGCAATCATAAGAGGGAAGTTCATAGCAATTAGTGCACATAAGAAGAAGATGGAAAGAAGGCAAATGGATCACCTATCATCATGCCTCAGAGAATTGTAAAAACAACAACAGAAAGATTTTAAAATAAATAAATAAAAATTAAAAAAAAAACCCACTTTTTAAAAAAAGAAAAAGATGTAAAATTTATCTATTTTTAAAAGTAGAGTTTTTTAGGAGATAATTTTGCTATAGGGTGTGTGCGCTTGCTAGAGAGAGACAGCAAGAAATCACCTCCCCAGGGGGATGCCCACACCACAATCTCTTCTTCATTCTCCTCTTGGGATCTTGGGCACCCACACACCCGTGCCTGGCATGAGTTTTAAGCCGCCAGGTCTGGGACTTGGACCACAGTCAGGTACGTGGGAGTCCAGTGACGTAACCGACCCCATCTGCTGGTACCCATACGTGAGATTTAAACGGTGGGTTCTCAGTCCTATAACCAGGGGAACTGCCTGTGTATACGTTGTCCCCAGTGATGTGAATGATATCATTGATTTTCCTTATTTGGGAACACCTTATTTTCAACAGCTAACCTTGTTTTGTGGGAGAAACAAAAGCACGTCTGCAGTCCCGTCCCAGCAGCAGGTCAGGAGGAAGCGTTCAGTGCAGACGGTGCGGCGCGGTCAGATATGAAACGCCACCCACCTCCGACTCAGCTCAGTTCCCTCGGCAGTGGGTTTTCATGGCAGCCGGCTGAAGGCCTCTTACCTTCCTTGTCTTCGTCCTTCTCATCGTCGTCATCACTGCCAGAGTCCGAGTCCTGAGAGGAGGCACCCAGCCCCCGTGGGGTCCCCTTTTCCCCGGGGTGGCTTGTCTGAGGCTCCTGTGTAGAAGCCCTCAAGCGCTCCTCTTTTTTCTGTAAAGAAGCAAGGGAACCATCAGCGTGAAAACTGACACCTGAAGCCACCCTGGTCCAGGATGACACCATCCCCGTGTCTTCGAGCCCAGGCTTCTCCTCTTCCATCTCTGAGCCCCACATGGTGGGTGGGTTGGTTTTGTTGGAGGCATGGAGGTGACATCGGCCTGGTCAGAACGGGCATAGGCCGTGTCCTCAGCTGCGCGGTCCTCTGTACTGTCCCTCAGCCCAGAGAGCAGTGACAGCCCGAGACACCCCGTCCAGGCCCAGCAGAGCCCTGTGCTGACGGATGCTGCTTCTGTTCATCCTGACCTGCCCAGGCTCCACCTGCCTCCCCTGGTTCTCAGTCACCTCGACCTTCAGCCAGTTCCCCCAGCTCCTGGGAACATGGTGGGGAGGGCCCGGTCAGGGGGGACCTGAGCACAGACTCCATTTCTTTCAGTCTGTCTGGCATTTTACACATTGGGATCCAAAAGGCCGATCTAGTGTCTGGAAGGCTACAATATTCTTTGGACCTTCCTATCAGCTAACACAATTTTATATTTGCCGAAAGTTAAATTGTTAAAATTGGGCTGGCAGGTGGTGTGGTTAAGGTGCTGGAATCCCAGATGGCAGACAATGGTTCGAGTCCCAGACCTGGCATCTTGCTTTCTAATTTCCCCCCTCCCCCGTCTCTCTGATAAAATTAAAAATAATAACAATAAATAAAATTAATTATCTTAAAAATTGTTTTAGTCATGTTTTCTTTGACATCTCAGAGAGAGCATCTGTATCCCTTGTGTGCTATAATGTCATCAGCAGCCACTGGCATGATCGTAGTTTATAACACTTAGAATGTGGAGCTGGTAACTACAAGAAATAAAATAGGGCCAGCAGGTGACGTGATTAAGGTGCTGGAAACTCCCACATGGTTCACTGCAGTTCAAGTCCCAGACCTGGCGGCTTGCTTTCTCACTTTCCCTATCTCTCTCTCTCTGGTGAATTAAAATAATAATAATAAAAAAATTTTTTTAAAGAAATAAAATAGTGGCAATAAGAATTAATATTCTGGAAAACACAGCTTTTAATACCTAAGAATAACAGGAGAAACAGGTTAGCACACGGGGCCAGCAGAAGGCAACTGGGTCCTGCCTGGCCAACTGTGCGGCTGAAGTATGCACCTGGTGGCTTGAAAATTACACCAGGTGGGCCAGCAGGTGGCGCAGTGGTTAAAGCGTTGGACTCCCACATGGCGGACCACAGCCGGAGTCCTGGATTTGGCAGCTTGCTTTCTCACTTCCCTCTTCTCTCTGTTGCTAGGTGGTTGAATTTTAAAATGATAATAAAATTAAATTTGGCAGCTTGCTTTCTCACTTCCCTCTTCACTCTGTTCCTCGATGGTCAAATTTTAAAATGATAATAAAATTAATTCTTGAAGAAAAACATTTACACCAGGTGTGTGTGCATGCATACCCCAAATCCTGAGAGGATGGTGGAGGGGGGATTATGGCATGACCATTCCCCCTGGAGGCGGTTTCTCACTTTTCCTCTCTGTCTCTCTCTGCAGTAAGCGCACATGCCCTATAGCAAAAGAAAAAAATTAGTAAACGTACCTTGATCAGTTCCGCGCGCTGGCATTCCGGGTCATGACTGGCCATTGGTAGGATTCTAATTTTCTGTGCCTTCAAAGTTCTCATAGCAAGTGGCCCTGCTATCTTTCTGTGTGTGGCACTGTCCGTGGAGTGAGGTCTGCAGGAAATGGACAATAACTTCTCACTCTTCCCTACAAACGTTTGGACAGTCACCACAGCAAAGCCACCTGCAGACCCCTCTGCCTCACCCGAGGCTCTCTGAGCAGGAACCCCTCACCCCACCCCTTCGGCTGGCGCTGGCGGGGCGAAGGGGGCGTGGCATGGAAGAGAGGCGGACGGGGAGGAGGACACGCCAAATTGTAATCACCGGAGGAAAAGAGCGAGGAATCAGCCCCACAAGGGTGGCGCAGATGCCAGGTGGCACAGGCTGCGGACCGAAGCTGCAGCCCTCCATCTGGGTAAAACTGGACGGGTCACGGCAAGGAGGCAGGTCCCAGTAGCACGAACTCCCGCCATCCCAGGAGACAGTAAAGTTAGAACAAGAGGCCTGGCGCAGAAAGGACCCCTTCTTTTTTTTTCCTTGGAGAGATTTTCGCTATAGTGCGCATGCGCTCGCCAGACAGAGACAGAGAGACAGAAAGCGAGAAATCACTCCCCCAGGGGGATGGCTACGCCGCAATCCCTTCTCCTCCATTCTCCTCTCCATTCTCCTCTCGGAAATCTTGAGCACGCACGCACAGGCGCCTGGCGTGAGTTTTAAGCCACCGGATCCAGGATGCGAACTGCGGTCGACTATGTGGGAGTCCAGCGACACGGCTAACTGCTGGTTCCCGAGAAAGGATCCCTTCTTGATAGAGAAGGCAGCTATCAGCTGAGTCCACCAGAGAGAAGGGAGGGTCTGGGAAGCAGAGAAGCTGGCTACAGTGAAGCCACGTGGAGAGCGGCTGTAAAGGCAAATACCCCAGAGTGGAGCACCCGCTATGATGAACAGACCGAGGGGTCAGCCCTGCTAGTGCCAAGGGGAAGCCCTGGGCACAGGGAGCCGGCCACACAGCCGACTGTGGTTCAAATCTCAGCCCTGGGAGCTTGAAAAACACTCCAAGTGGGGCCAGCAGGTGGCGTGGTGGTTAAGGTACTAGATTCCCACAGGGCCGTTCATGGTTCGAGTCCCAGACCTGGCAGCTTCTTTCTCACTTTCTCTGTGTTTCTCTCTGGTCAAACTAATAAATAATAATAAATTAAGTAATTCTAAAAACAACAACACTCCAGGCGTGTGCACATGTGTGCCCAAAATACTGAGGGAAAGCAGAAATGGAGGAAAAACGATTGCAGCATGACTACACTCCATTGTGGGGTGCTTTCTCTCTCTGGCAATAAAAAAAGAAAGCAGAAACAAGCTAAGCCTTGGGTATCTTTCAAGATGCTATTCTAGGGACCAGCAGTTAGCGTAATGGCTATGTCACTGGACTCCCATGTAGTCGACTGTGGTTCGAGTTCTGGACCCAGTGGTTTAAACTCATGCCGGGCGCGTGTGTGTGCGTGCCCAAGATCCTGAGAGGAGAATGGAGGAGAAGGGATTGCGGCGTGACCATCCCCCCCGGGCGGTGATTTCTCGCTTTCTGTCTCTCTGTCTCTTTCTCTCTTTCTGGCGAGCACACACGCTCTGTAGCAAACCTCTCTCCAAAAGAAAAAAAAAAAAGATGCTGTTCTAGAAGAGATTTTTTTCAAAGAATTATTTATTTAATTCCACTTATTATTATTATTATTATTTAAATTTGACCAGAGACAGACAGAGAGAGGGAGAGTGAGAAAGCGAGAGGGCAGGTTGCCAGGTCTGGGACTCAAACCATGTGGGAATCCAGCGCCTTTAACCACCATGCCACCTGCTGGTCCTAGAAGAGGTGTTAAGAGGCTGAACATGCAGCACCTTTCCCGGCCAGCTCTCTCCTGACTTCCATGTATCACTCGGCCTGCCACAGCGCCCCTGTGAGGTGGGTGTTATCTCCATCTTACAGATCAGGGAGCTGGAAAGTAGTGGGATCGAGACCCTTCCTCAAGGTTATGCAGCCTCAGAGAGCTGTCCCTCACAGTCTCCGAGAAGACCTGCAGACTTAGTATACTCTACATCCCTGAGCATTCACGCATATTAGTATATGATTAAATTCTTTTCATTCACAGCGCTGTGAAACCGTGACCACATCTGATTTTAGAACACTTCCACCACCCCAGAAAGAGCCCTTGTACCCTCTGTCAGGTCTTGCGAGCTCCACCTCTCTTTTTTCTGGGGTGTGTCCTCCCAGGGGGCAGGGGAGAAGGACCCCCCAGGAGCTCAGCTAGCCCGGCTGGGCACCTTCTGCCTGGGCACCTTCTGCCTGGGCACAGGCCTCTGCAGCCTCGGGTACAGGAGAACCACAGCCCGTCACGTCCGTGGTAGGCACACACAACACAGCGCACAGCAGAGCAGCAGGGACAAGGCCACCAGGCCTCGGCGGGGGCTCTGATCAGTGCCGACTCCTGTCCTGGCCCGCTGGGGTAAATGTCAGTCTCCTGGGAGCTCTGAGAGCCTGAACTGGTTCTGAGAAATGGCCACTGGTAGTAAACTGGGAGACACTGTCACCACCAGATCGCAGGCCTTGGTGAGCTGGCTGGCCCTGGGGCCCTCCCTGCCTCTGCCACTCTCTGGGGAGCATTACGTGCCCTCTGACAATGAAAAACAAAACTAAAAAAGAAAGAAAGAAAGAGCTGGCTTTTTGCACAGCTTGGCTTTGCTGCTCCTTAACTGCAAGTACAAGCGTGTGGCTACGAGCAGTTACCTAAAGGTCAGCTTGGACTTAAAGATGGCTTGTCCCCGGAGCCCCGTGTCTTCTCTTATGAACAGGTGGTTGTAATTGCCATGCAGCGGAGCTTGGCAGACGTCAAAGACCTCGCTGCCCAGGTGCAGGGACATGCTGGAAACGAGACACAGTTCTGGTGTCAGGAGGGCGGCCCGTGAGTCCCACAGCTCCCCTCTGCAACCGCCCATCCTGCCCTCGCACTGGACTCGAGCAAGACAGAAAAGACGCTTTAAGCAATCTATTTTCAAAGTGAAACCTATCCTCTTTTCAACTGGAAATGTAATTTTTGGTAACATCCCCAGTCTCTACCACTTCCTTAGCCAAAAGGTGACAATTTTTCAGAAACATCAGCTTTGCTGTTTGCCGCCTGCTGTCCCACAGACAGGCGCCAGCCTCAGTCTTTCCTGTCAGCAAGATCCGTCTTGAGCCAAGATTGGATCACAGCTTGGTCCGTTTCTAGTCCCCCACCAGCACAGCCACCTGACTCAACCCCAAGGTAAAATGCCAGGGGTCTAGATTTCATGATTTTTTTCTTTTTTAAGTTCCTTTATTTCCCTCATGGGAGACTGAAAGGGTGGGCACTCAACAGAATCTTCATGCAAAGTCTTCCCACCCTGCAGCCAGCCAAGATGGCGGACATGCCACTGGTGCCCAGTGTATGCGCGAGGAGACTCAGGATTCAAACCCAGAGCCCTCCCAGGTGGCTCCAGCCTACGTGGGGGCCTTGTCAATTTGTCCATGAAAGAAGACCCCAAAATAAGGCCTACACAGAGAACTTGAACTGGGCCTCCCTTTCAACACTCCTCAGGCGTTTTGTGCTCACCTTCCATCTGACCACTTGACTATCCGAGCATTGCTTTCTTTAATTTTATTTCCTTCTTCATCCCGGCGTATCCTCCATCGTATAGTATTCTCTACCTGGCTCAAAACATGAAAGCACGGGACCAGCAGATGGCATAATGGTTACGTCACTGGACTCCCATGTAGTCAACCATAGTTCGAGTCCCAAACCTGGCAACTTAAAACATGCCAGGTGCATGTGAATACATGCCCAAGATCTCGAGAGGAGAATGGAGAAGGGATTGCAGCATGGCCATTCCCCCAGGGAGTGATTTCTCACTTTCTATCTTTGTCTCTCCGGCGAGCGCACACTCCCTATAGCAAAAAAACTTTTCTAAAAAATTAAATAAATAAGTAAATGAAGACACTAAGGACTCACATGTGGCATGGTGATTAAGGGCACTGGACTCCCACATGGATGACCATGGTTTGAGTCCCGAACCTGGTGACTTGCTTTCTTGCTCTCTCGCTTTGTACCTCTCTGGTCAAAATTAAAATAAATATAAGTAAATAAATAAAGTTTAATAAAATAATTCTTAAAAAAAAAAAAAAAAGAAAAGAAAGGCATTAGGAAACTAGTTTAGGGGCCAGCAAGTGGTATGGTGGTTAAGGGTGCTAGATTTCCACATGGCTGACCATGGGTCAAGTTCCGGACCCGGTGGCTTGCTTTCTCACTTTCTCTCTCTCTTTCTCTGTCCCTCTCTGGTCAAATTAAAATAAATAAAGTTAAATAGGATAATTATTTAAAAAAATAAAAATAAAAAAGCCAGTTTAATTGGACCAGCCCTTCCCATATGGCCAACCATGGTTTACATGCCAGCCTGGGTGAGCTGGGCTGGCCAGCTCTCTGGTAAGCACACATGTCTTCTGACAAAGAGAAAGAGGGCCAGGACCAGCAGTTAACGTAATGGCTATGTTGCTGGACTCCCATACAGTCGAGTGCTGTACCCGGTGGCTTAAAACTCACACTGGGCGTATGTGCGTGCCCAAGATCCCGAGAGGAGAATGGAGGAAAAGGGATTGCAGTGTGACCATCCCCCCTGGGGGGTGATTTCTCGCGTTCTGTCTCTTTGTTTCTGTCTGGCAAGCACACACGCCCTATAGCTTAAAAACCTCTCCAAAAAAAAAAGAGAGAGAGAGAGAGAAAGAGGGCCAACCAGTGGCATGGTTACAGCAGCGGGATCCCATATAGTTGGCTGAGTGGTTTGAGTCTCGGGCCCAGTAGTTGGGAAACATGCCACACCTTTGCTTGTGTGTCCAAATCCCGAAAGGAGAATGGAGAAGGGATTGCAGATGGCCATCCCGTGGGAGTGGGGGGAGAGCGATTTGTCACAGAAAAAAAAAAAAAGAGAGAGAGAAAATGAAAAGAAGGAGGAGAGAAGGGAAGAAGGAAGAAGACCCCTGGAGCTCCATGTTACTTTTTCCCTTGAGAGATGCCAAGTATTGGCCCTAATACAATCAGCTTACCAACACAGGAAGAGCTAATCCAGTAGCACTGAGGCCTGCCCACTCAAATACCAAGAGGTCGTTGAACTACCTAGATATTTTGTTTAATTTTTTTTGAGAGGTTTTCGCTATAGGGTGCGTGCGCTCACCAGACAGAGAGAAGGAGGACATAGAGACAGAAAGCGAGAAATCACCCCCAGAGGGGATGGTCACGCCGCAATCCCTTCTCCTCCATTCTCCTCTCGGGATCTTGGGCACGCACGCCCAGGCGCCCGGCGTGAGTTTTAAGCCACCAGGTCCGGGACGCGAACCGCGGTCGACTACGTGGGAGTCCAGCGACATAGCCATTATGCTAACTGCTGGTTCCAAATTTTTTTAATGTTGTATTTTCTTTATTATGACAGTATTGCGTGTACACGTGAAGTAGAAAGAGAAAGCCCCCGAGTGGGGCAGGTCACACGCCGGTCCCCTCTCTTTTCTCCTTCCATCGGGATCGCGGGTGTGTCTGCACACAAGCCCGGCGTGTATTCAGAGCCCACAGGGACAGGTTTAAGCCCCAAGCGGCCATGTGGGATCTGGCTTCCTCTGCACCGTGCCTGATTGTCGCGATATGGGGCCAACCCCAAAACCTTTTTATTTGTTAAGCTATTTTATTTATTCCCTGGGGCGGGCAGGAGGAAAAACCCTCCACAGGGACTTCATTCCACAATCCCTCTCCCAGCCCAGCAGCCAGCCAGGACTACAGGCACCTGCTGCATGTGGGTAGGCCCAGGTCATGACCCCAGAGCCCTCCCGTTGGCCTGGCCTTCAGCACTGCACAGCCGCGCCCCTGCTGCCTGCACCGCTGCAGCTGGTGTGTGCCTCCTCCCTGGCTCCAGTTCGTCTCAGCGGAAGCTAAAGCTACGTGTGATTCCGGCTGTGTTACCAGACACACCAAGCTCCAAACCAGAGAAGCAGAGGGAGACAGCTAAAACTGAGACTCTGCCTGTCACAAGGCCACTTGAAGGGCCGCGAGCCCAGTGAGAGAAGGGCTGCCTAAGTGCGCCTCAGGCTAGTGAGGACAGAAGCTCTGGGCCTATAATGAAAAACAGTTAAGGAATAAACAAGGACAACAAAGTAAAGCCTGACACCTGTGCTTTGCCCTGTTTGAGAACCCCAGATTTACCCTACCCATGTGGAGGGGATCCCCAAGTCTCAAGGTAGTATACGGATTGCCCCTGCCCAGAGCTACCGCCGGGGCCCTGGCAGAAGCTCCTAGGGTACCCCCAAGGAAGACAGCAGCCTCTTACAGCAGCAGTAGGGCTTTGCCTTCCCAGTCTCCCAGGGAGGAGCCACTCCTGGCAAGGCTTCCTCTTGTGCGTAATTTAAATATCCAGAGAGGGGCACCAGCAAGTGGCGGGGTGGTTAAGGGCGCTAGGCTCCCACATGGCCGACCATGGTTTGGGTCCTGGACCTGGTGGCTTGCTTTTTCTCTCTTTTGCTCGCTCTCTATTTCTCTCTGGTCAAATTAAAATAAATAAAGTTAAGATAAAAGATCATTATTTAACAATAAATAAATAAATAAATAAATATCCACGGAGAGCCTGAGACACTTCTCTTTTTGTTTTTTCCTGGAGAGGTTTTTGCTATAGGGGCGCATGTGCTCTCCAGAAAAAGAGAGACAGAGAGACAGAAAGCAAGAAATCACCCCCTAGGGGGGATGGCCACGCCACAATCCCTTCTCCTTTTGGGATCTTGGGCACGCACGCACACATGCCCGGCATGAGTTTAAGCCACCGGGTCCGGGACTCGAACTGCAGTCGACTATATGGGAGTCCAGCAAAGTAACCATTCTGCCATCTGCTATTCCCTACATTGCCTTTTTTCATTCCTGTAGAATTGTCACTTTTTCTTTCCTTCTTCCTTTTATTTTGTTTTTAGGAGAAGGGATTGCTTTGTGACCATTTCCTGGGGGGTGATTTCTCTCTGTCTCTCTGGCGAGCTCATGTGCCCTACAACAAAATATCTCTTTCTAACAAAAAGGTATGTAAGCCCGGCTGTGTGGCGATGCATCAGGACGGCACCCTTGTGCTGTGGCTGAGGGTGTGTGCGAGGCCGGGGTTCGGTTCCTAGTCCAGCCTAAACAGGCCAGGACAGCGGTACATGCCTCAGGTCCTAGCTGACGGGAGATCGAGCCAGATGATCAAGGTGTGGTGAGGCCCTGACAAAAGTACCTGGCAGGCTGGGGCTGTAGCCTGGTGGTTAAGGGAGCCAGAAGACCCCACACGGCCATCTCTGGTTTGAGTCCCAGCCCTGGAGACTTGAGAAGCATGCCATGCTCATGTCCATGCATGCCCAAACATGCAGCAGGGAGAAGAGAGAGGAAAAGGGATTGCAGCATGGCCACGCTCCCCTGGGGGTGGGTGCTTCCTCCCTCCCTGCCCACCCCTACTGCCTGTCTCTCTGGTGGGCAATGAACCAATCCACGTCTCTGCCCAGCTGCGCGGGAGAGGTGGTGAGGCTCTGATTGTGATGTTGGGGCCGTACGGGAAGGCCTTGAGTATAGACCCCAGGTTGAGCTGAAGGGTCACAGGTATGCCAGGCACACCTGTGGGCATGACTAATCATGGCTGCTTGGGAGGCTGGTGGTGGCAGAGTATGGTGGCATGAAAAGACCCTAGGCTAAAAACCTAAAAAAAACAAAAAAAAACACAAAATACCAAACTTCTCTTTCTCTCCCTGCCCCTCCCACTTCACCTCTCTATCTCATTAAAAAAAGGAAAAAAGAAAATGGGGGTGGGAAGTATGTACCTTCTATAAATAAATGTATTTTTAAGAATTATTTCATTAACTTCACTTATTATTATTATTGTTGTTGTTGTTGTTGTTGTTGTTTTCCAGTTTTCATCAGACCAGGGTGTGGGGAGAGAGAAAGCAAGCCACCAGGTTCAGGACTTGAACTGCAGTTGGCCTTGTGGTAGTCCAGTGCCTTTAACTACCACACCACCTGCTGTTCCCGAAAGATAAATATTAAAAAAAATTTTGCCAGTGGGCGCATATACTCACTGAAGAGAGAAGGAGAAAAGAAAAGCAAGAAGTCACCATCTCCCGCCCCCCTCCCCCTGGAGGGACTGTTCAGGCCGCCATCCCTCCTCCCCCGTTGTCCTCCAGGGACTTCGGGCAGGCACGCACATACTCCTGGCGTGTTTTCAGGCTGCTGGATCCAGGGCTCAGACTGCCCAGTCAGCCAGCTGGGGTCCAGCTGCCTTAACTACCACGTCCCTGGCTGGCCTCCTACAAATATGTTTTTTTAAATGTTCAATTCCTTGTTCTAAAGAGTTATTTGTTGATTAAACGGGCAACATAAAAGATCATTTTCCTAAGCTCGAGTCTCAAGCTACCATGTTTTAATTTATAAAGGAAAAAATTAAAAAACAAAACAGGAACCATTTGCGGACGCTACCTTTAATTTTAACCTGGTCTTCTCTTCCTCATCAAGCATTTTTTCGCCTTCAAATTCATCTTCATAAAATCGAGGATCGAAAGGTCTAGAAATGATTTTTAATATCACTTTAGCCATGTTTACTAATAAGTATAATTAATACTATAAATGATTCATCTCTACAGCATGCACTAATAGGTTTATTTTTATTTTTATTTATTCATATTTATTTTAATTTAACCAGAGAGAGAGAGACAGAGAGAGAGAGAAGTGAGAAAGGAAGCCACCAGGCCTGGGACTCAAACTGTTGTTGGCCAGGTGGGAGTGTCCAGTGATGTAACCACCACACCACCTGCTGGTGCCTGGGTTTTTAAAAATCGAAGGTGACAAATAACTTCAATTTAACCTTCAAGCAAGTATAAAAAGTCCCCCAAATCTCAAAATTTCTTTTTAAAACACATTGCTGGAATATAACTCAAATGTGACTAATAATTCAAAATCTTTTAAAGTAGAGGCAACATGTCATCTGTTTTTTCTTTCAAGAAAGCGTGTCATGTTTAATTGCACACAAGCTTCTCAGCAGGGGCCTCCGTGCGTAATACTCGTTGACACGACTTGGCCACACCCTCTCTTAGATCCGCCATGGCTTGTGCACTGAACATTTGTGATTCCTCTCTCAGACTTTCTTACTCTCATTTTCCAATTTTTCGGCTTTGCACTTGTGAAAATTACTTTGGTCAGTTGTGATGCGTTTACTTACAAGATGCTAAAAAAATGAATAGCATGAATAATGATTAGCATTAGTCATTCTCCTATCACTGCCTGTTTTAAATTTCTTTTTTTTTTCAGAGTACGTGAGAAATCTCCCATCTTTGTGAAGAGTCAACCCCGATAAACAGAGGAAAAATACGAGGTTGTCAGGAAAGGCAGGATGCATTTTTCTGTTTTTCTATGCAAATTTGTGTCATGACTTTTCCAACTTTCCCGACAACCCAATATTTACATTCAGCGTCGTTTCAAGATAGCCACATCTTGAAACAATCCCGTCAGCCCTCTTACTTGGGTTCTATGCTGAGAAACCTGGGTAGTTTAACGAAATATAATCCATTTCCTAAATCAGAGTTGATGCTGGGAATTTCGACTTCTACTTTGGCTTCAGAGACAGGCTCTTTCTTCCACTGGCCCTGAGGTACTCCGTGTTCATCCTGGAAAGAAATCAGAAGTGAGAGCTTGAAGAGGTAGAAACACCCTCTACTCCTCCACTCGGAAGGCGCAGCTTTGACGGGAAGGAGCACGTGGGCACCCTCACGGGGTGGAACAGTCGGCCGCCCTTCCGAGCCTCTCGCTAAGCCCTCACCGATGAACACGCAAATCACCATGGGAAGCCAGGTCTGTGAGCTTGCGTTACTGGGGAGAGAGATCTATTCTCCTTTTTTTAGATTTTTGTCATAGAGTGCATGTGCTCGCCAGAGAGCGGGACTGTGAGAAGTCACCCCTTGCGCTGGGGGAGATGGCCGCACTGCACTCTCTCCTCCATTCTCCTCGGCATTTTGGGCACGCAGGAACATGTGCCTGGCATGATGCTCAAGCCACTGGGTCTGGAACTTGAACTGTGGTCGGCCACGTGGGATCCAGTGCCTTAACCACCATACCGCCTGCTGGCCCGCGCTTCTCTTTTTTGGACATATCTATTTTGCATAAGACATGCAGCCATGTACATGCAGTGATTCAAAACACTAATCCTAAATCGCTGTTAGAAACCAGAGAAGAATAGCAAGATAGCCACACTGCCTGGCCCAGGTCTGAATAAGAAGACCCTTTCAATCAAAGGTGTTTGGTTAGGAGCCCTCACAGTTCAGTCCCTACAACTTGGCATCCCCCCACTCCGAGCAGCTTCTCCTGTGCCTTCTTAGATCCAGACATTCCCACAGAGCTAAGGAAGCCACCCATGCGTCAGATGTTCAAGTGTCCATGTCACCTCTCAACGAGAAAGACAGACCTGGGACCAGAAGGGGGCATGGTGGTTAAGATACTGGACCCCACATGATCGACTCCATGGTTCAAGTCCCAGAGCCAGTGGCTTGAAAAACACTCTGGGCATGTGTGTGCATGTGTGCCCAGAATCCCAAGAGGAGACTGGAGAAGGGGTTGTGGTGGGACCGTCCTCTCTGGAGGTGATTTCTCAGTTTCCCTCTCTGTCTCTCTTCAGCAAGCATATTCTCCCTATGGCAAAAATCTTTAAAAAATTTAAATTAAATTAATTTAAAAGAAAGAAAGAAAGAAAGAAAGAAAAGAAAAGAAAAGAAAAGAAAAAAAAAGAAAAGAAAAGAAAAGTGATAGGCCCACCAGCTTCTGCAACTTCCTTTCTGAGGTTTGCATAGTGGGGTTGGTTGAGATTAGAGATAATACTTACAACAGGCGGTCCTGGAATTGGGGGGCGATCATCCTCACTCTCTGAAGAAATGTCATCGATATCTCCAAACAGATCCATGGTCCCACTATAGTCTTCACGGTCGGAGGGAAACGTGCAGGATTAATTTCTCTAACTAAGTTTCTTTACGCATTAGCTCTTGGCCTGTCACTCACACACATTCTCGGGTTCACGGGCCAGAGCTCCGCTAAGCCAACCTGAGCAGAACGCCTTTGGAGAGGAAAGAGGCAGAAGGGGCTGGCGAAAGGCAACGTCTCTGTGATCACCAGCTTTCCTGGCGGTTCCTGGTGAGTCCCGTCTCTGCTTTTCGTGCCCTGGTGTGGTCCTGTCCACCTCCGTGCTGTGGCTGGTCTCTGTGACCAGCGGAATACAACCTCCCGTCCACAGGTAGGCTCAGAATGACCTTGCGGCTTTCCTGCTTTGCCCTTTCTCTCTTGGGTCACTCTGGGGAAAGCCAGCTGCCATGGTGTGAGGACACTCGGCACCGTAGTGAGAAACTGAGGCATTGGCCAGGAGCCACGTGAGCCATCTTGACAAGGGGTCCTATGGCCCCAGGCAAGCCTGCACTGTCAGCTGACACCTGGATTGCAGTCTCCTGACAGACCCTGGCCAGAACCACCCTGCTAAGTCATTCCTCAATGCTGACTCTCAGAACCTGTGACATGTTAAATGTTTGTTGTTTTTTTTTGTTTGTTTTTTGAGAGGTTTTTGCTATAGAGCACGTGCACTCACCAGAAAGACAGAGAGAGGCAGAGAGACAGAAAGCAAGAAATCACCCCCTCCCGGGGGAGTTGACCACGCCGCAATCCCTTCTCCTCCATTCTCCTCTTGGGATCTTGGGCACGCACGCACACGCACCCGGCATGAGTTTAAGCCACTGTGTCCAGGACTCGAACCGTGGCCAACTACATGAGAGTCCAGCAACATAGCCATTATGCCAACTACTGGTCCCAAATGTTTGTTATTTTAAGATGCTGAGTTTGGAAGCAATTTGTTACACAGCAATAAATAACCAATACAGTTACTCTAAAGGCACTTTCTCCCT